ACAGTGTCCCATTGCAAAAGAGCAGGCAAGGTGGGAGGTGTTGTGACCATCTTTTGAAACACAATCTGCCACAGGAAAAATATGTAAAAAACATATAACAATGGCTACCAGAGGGAGTGGTGAACACAGTGCATGAGATGGAATAAGAGGAAGATGGAAGAAATATGTAACTTTTTACATAGTTAAAAAGAAAATTTTTTGAGCCAATTAAAAAAACTATTTTAAGGAAGCCATACTTTCTTTGAAACATGAAACAAATATTGATTAAATGGACAAATTTTTCCTTGGGCCCATTGGCTACATTTATGCTCCCTAATCTCCATGCCCAGAGAACATCTCACTCTACTTCCAGGCTTACGTTTCCCAACAAAATGACTGAAATTCCACCAAGACATCTTGCAGGGTTAGGCCACTCTTCTGGAATCACACCACAATTCAAACCTTAAGATCACTGTGTGCGCTCATCCTAATATACTTGGTATGCTTCTTATAAGTTATAAGTTGAGGTGAGAATTTAGAATCTTCTTTATAAGTATGTCATATATATTCTTTATAAGTAATGTCATATATGTTATTTTTAAAATATTATTAAAATATCTGATGCTTAAATATATTCAAAAACAAATATGTGCCACTGTATGTTATTAACATCTGGGAAGATTGATGCCTACCTGCCCTTTGCTCACACAAAACTTTAAGAAGATCCCCGTTTTAAATTTAAAGATCTCCTAACACACGGTTCTTTATTCAACTATGTAGAACTCAAGACAATAATTCTAGCCTCCCTCTGCCCCCAAAATGTATGAAACAAAAACTCAAATATAAAACTACAACATCCCTTACATTCATTTGGGTAACAGACTAGCTGGGGCATGCTATCACTCCCAGAATAGTACTAGCCTCTATCTTTCTATGAAGCTCCTTAATCCTACTCAGTTCAAAAACCAAGGCTCCAGGGAGCCTGGACAGAGCCTATGAGAGCCTTCCAGGGCCCATCTTTGTCTCCTCAAATCCTGCCTCCCAAGGGCCTCTGCTAATCCCAGTGCATGGTTAGATCACACGTGTTGTTTTGATAGCTGGATTTCTGGGCCACTTTTTTTGTCAAAAATCCTCCCAATAGCTTCCCAAAGATGCCATGGAGTAAGGTAAGCAAGTAGAAAAATAAGGTTGAAATAAGCAGTTGTTGCATAACAGAGTGTATCACATAGGATCCATCTCCAAAAAAGTCAGTTTGCAATGAAAGCCCACTCTGGCTCTTTTAGTAAGATCTGATGATACCCATGTGCATTCCTGACTCAAGTGACATCATCTTATTCTTATTTCAGAGCATAATGAATTATAGTCATTAAATGTTAATATAAACCTTACAGCTAAAGTAACCTCCAAAAATATATACCATGTCAATTAGCATACTGAGGAAAAGTTTTTTTGGTTTGTTTTTATTTTTTTAAACTCATTAAGGGTTGTTTCTCAATTTATAGATGAGAGGAAAAGTCATTAACATATGCAAAGTGTGACCATTCAGTAAAGAAAATGATGTGTGGCCTAGGAAATTCCATGCTTTCCTTTGTGGTCATATCCACCACTGAGCTGCCATCCCTTCTATAGTATCTATCTTTTCAAATATTTTCCTTTAAAAGAAATCTCATATCCAATACCTAGGCCAAATCAAGCATTGCAGTGTATAATAATTTTCCCAGATTTTCTGATAGGTGCATTTCACCAAGACAAATACTATATCTGGTGTTCAGTTACAGCAACAATGTAACAAACTACACCATCTCCCAAACTAATCAGGATGCTTAATGGCTTTTTAGATACATGTGGATGCAAGATTATGATGTCCCAATAAGCTCGTACAGTAATTTTCCCCCTTTTCTTTTTCCTCTCTTTCTTTTTTTTTAAATAATAAGTCTCAAAGTTAAAGCCAAAAAAATTCCATCAAAGTGTTCTAGAAAAAGAGCCACATTATTACCCATTTGTCAGTCTAAATTATATGCCTCTATCACCCTCCCCGCCTTGAAAATAGACTCTTTAATAAACACAGGAGGGAAAAATAAATAGGTTAACCAGGAGAAAGGTCATGCCTTGTCTGTTGTAATACAGTCTGATCACCCAAAGTGATTGATCTCTTAAAAAATCCATATCTGTGACTCTTATAGACATCCTGCCATCCTACAGCCATCTACAAGGTGGCTTACACTTCTAAGGTCATTCAAACTGCTTGAATCCCTGTGGTTCTCTCAGGAAATCCAAGAAGTTCAGGAGTCTTGCGTTTTTTGTGGAGTGAGGCTTTTCAGTTCTTCCCCACCCCCACCAGGGAAAAAAAAAAGAAAAGCTATGAAAATGGAAGTGTTAAATAAGAATGATTTAACAATACTATGTATTTTTGCAAATCAATACCTTGCCTCCATTCTTGAGGTAAAATCAAGGAAAACTATTTTCCTTATAATAATCAATCTATTTCTATTTCTCTCTCTCTCTGAAAAAAACATGTAATGAAAATTAAATACACTTGGCCCTTGACCCAGTCAAAACAGAGCTAATTCAAAGGAACCACTGATTATTTTTGACTGCTTAATATAAAAAAAAACCAACCACTTTATGACTTCTCCTCCATTCTCGTCTAGTACAGTCTTTCTTCTCTTCGCAGCAGAAGAAAAAAGATGGGAGAACTAGAAGATCAAGCACTTTAACTCTAGAAATAGCAAAAACTCCTTGTGATTATAATAAAATCCAAAACAAGACACCTCTGAGCCACTTACCACCCAATCAATGTCTCATCCTTTTATAGAAGTTAAAATATTTTCAGTGAGTTGACCTTTTCACTTTACTATGAGTTTCCCTAAGGGTAAATCTTTAGTAGAAATAATTTGATTGAGGGTTCCTACTCCAAGGGTGGCAAAAACCTAGCTTTCCCTTGCTTTTGAAAGCTGCCTTTTCTTGTCTCCTATAATTTTAAAAGGTATTTTAAAAATGTTCCTGAGATCAGACTTTATGTGCAACATGTCACGAGAGAGTGAATATTTATGATCAAACTGCTCTTCTAAAATGTATCATAAAATCAGGTTTATAGTAAATGTTCTTCAGACCATTAGCTACTGTAATTCTCTAGTCCTTTTCTTAGCTGTTTTATTAATAGTGTACAATCCTTATTACTACTAACTGTTACTTGTTAAATACAGAGCCATCCACTATAAGCCAGATTCTCCTCCTGCTCCCTGTTTTCCAAAATACCTGTAATAAATAGCCTCAAGACCCATCTGTCTAGGATTCTTGAGGGCCCTCTCTCCTAGGAACAGGGGAAAAGGGCTCAATGGTCTCTTCAGGACTTTTCCATTACTAGAACTTAGTAAGCCTCAAAACTGGGTTTAGAGTTATAATTCATATGGCAAAAAAAAAAAAAATTTTTTTTAATGAACTAATCTGGTAACTTGCTCTGCGGAAGGAAAAAAAAAAAAGGAAATTGACATTCAGAAAGGACAGAGAAAGACTGGAAGAGGAAAACCCAGAAACAAAAGAGAGGCCCTTTCCTTCATCCATTATTACTTTTGATGTCAGTGTCATCTTATAAAGTCCAGTTAGTCAAACTGACAGCAGTGGGTATGTTTTACTTTCAGGCTCAGTCGTGTGCTATCAAGAGTAAATGGAGGCACCTTCTAGAGGTCTCTGACAATCCCAGAGGAAATCTTTCTGCTTGCTCCCCGAAGCCCAGAGGGGAAGGCTCATGGCAGTTCAGCTGAATCAGACTGCTTATGTTATGAGGATGGACAGCAGGAGGAGAGCGAAGCGATTCTGCACAGTGGATGGCGAATAATCAGAGAGAAGACAGATAGCAGAAACTTCAAGGACTCAAGGGACACCATCTGAAGCAAAGTAACATTGATATCAACATCTAGGAAATGATAGAGGCAGGTAAATTGCTCCAGCAAGAAAAAAAGAGATAGGATGACCCAGTTTAAGCAAAAAGTAATTTGCTAATCACGAGGTAAATAACACAATAGGCTCGTCTCTCCACTCACACACAGCAGGTATAGCCATTATCCAGATAAAGCGGTAGACAGAAAAGGAGCTCCCCTCAAATGTAACTGGTGCTCGAACCACAGAGAGCTTCTTGGGAACAAGAGCTCACCCCAAAGAAAAATTGGCAGCTAGTGCCACCTGCAGAGGAAAGATACATCTTCCGCAGGCACCAGCTCTCCAAAGCTGACAGGCTGATATATTCTGCTGAATAAATCGAAAAATTCTCAAGTGGTCTAAAAAAGGTAGTCTGAAGTAGACTGCAGGGCAGGGATCCGATCAAGTTAGGAACGTCAGGGGCCTGTGGTAACATCCACACCAGGAAAAAAGGCCCCCAGACTCTGAGTTAAGTGCAAATGAGAAAATATCATGGTGAGTTTTGTTTCTTTGTGTGAGTATATTTTGGAATTTTTTTTTCCCAGTGGTTGTATGTTGTGATTTTTTAAAACATACAAAACTGCAAATAGTTCTTTTCATATATGGAGAAAAGAGGAAACAGAAAGTACTCTTTCCTGGAGCCCCTATCAGGTGCATTACTTTCTCCTGAATTTTTTCTTCAGCTTTTCTGACCCCACCTGGAACTGACTTTCCTTCCTCCAGGCTCTTCTCAAGGCCTGCCTCCTTCCTAAATCTCTCCTGAATGAATCTTTCATTGATCCCTCTTCTCCCTCAACTCGTAATTTGCTTATTGCTTGAGCCATTCAATGCAGAGCTTAATTAAATACTGTCTCGCCTTCTAATTGCTTCCTCTGGGTAAATGTCACTTCCCAAACAAAACTACAAGATCTTCAAAAGCAGTGTTATGTCCAACACATATATTCTATTCCCTCGGCCAAGCTGGACATCCATACTGAGGGTTCGTCTTCTAATATCTAATTTGAGGAGTATGAGGAAGGCCTCCTTACTCAAAAATATCTCCCCTCTCCTGTGTTGACTTTCTTTAAGCCAAAGTATTCATTCCTCATTCTGAGGTTCCTAGGATGATTGATACTTTACGCTATTCCGTAATGACACGCAAAGGTAAGTAATCCTTGGGACTCCCAAGACCTGAGTTTGACTCCTAACTCAGTCACTCCTGATGATGCAATCTTGGCAAGTTATTTATATCTCCAGTGGTCTGTTCTTCTACTAAAGGGGGAAATAACATTCTAGTTATGATCGTATGACAACTGAAAGAAAAAATACACGGAATATTTAGCCCATAGTAAGCGCTTAGTAAGCGTTAGCTTTGTTAGCAATAATAATAACAGTAAGCACTGAGAGATAAACTGTGGATGGTCTGAGATTTAACCCTAATTGCACTCTGACAACCGATCCTGCCAGTTCCATGGCTGCTACGAGAGGACACTACACTGCTGCGTCAGGGACAAAGGACTTCGCTACTCACAGCATAGCAAGAAGCCTGCGCATTCTGTTCATATCGTTTCCACTCACTCCTCAAACTTCCATGAGCTCTGGGTCATCGTCCAGAAACTCTGAGCCTAGGAAAGCCAAATCTCTTATAATGGGCTGCAAGCAAACCTTCCTGACTTTCACTCTGGAGGCGGAATATTATCCTTTCTATAATCAGTCTTCAGGCCTGCCCTCCACTCCAGAGGGAGACATTCTATCTTCCGAGGCAGCCTGCTGTACAGACATCCCTAAAAAAATAAGCCAGGACCAAGGCTGTCAGCGCCATCGTTCTCAATGTGCACAGGAAATAAGCAATCCATGCAGAACGGGCTCCCCACAAAAGTTATCCCCTACTCGCAAGGACCTTACAAACTGTATGAAAAGACAGAAGTAAATTTAAATATTGAAGGAGAGGGAAATAGGCACTATTCTGAAAACCACTGGATACAATAAATGCATACAATAAACAAAATACCATGTAGCTTTACGGGAGTGTGGAGCCATGTATTTACTAACATGAAAAATGTTTCTGATACATTGTTTATTGAAGAAAGTGGGTCTGAAAGGTAACGATAGTCCACTCCCATTAATATTCGCAGCTAAATCATTTATATGGTATATTGTCAGTTGTCAACAAGTAAATTTATTTATAGAAAACATTAAATTAATAATATATGATACTTATATATACAGGTATCTCCCACTTTCCAAAAGTTCGTATTACACCACTTCACTTTTTAGGAAAGCCCTACATTAGTACCTGTTTTCACTAACCGAAACAAATCTTAAGAAGATTTTCACTTTTACGAAAAAATGCAAAAAGCAAAAACAGCGTTCAGTGTTTATTCACCTGCACCCCAAATGGCAGAGTGGCACCTCCAAGCTCCTCCCCCAGGAACGACACACAGCATCTCAGCATCAAGCCCCCTTAGCTGTGAACTGTGTCAGGGAGCATCTGTGCTTTACCTTGATCTTTTTTGTGCATCCTAGCAAGATGTGTCCTAAGGTATCAGAAAAGCCGAAGAGAGGTTATATGTGGGGTCTGGGAACACTCAAGAATTTTTCCCCATAAATTAACAGTAATTGCTTCTTCTCTTTACACCATTTAGGCTTTTGAAAGGTTTCATAAGGATGCTCAACTTTTGGATAGCAGGGGGAACTTATATTGTCCTGGAATGATATAAGGCTGGTCACGCCCTCCAACTTAAGAGCTGGGCATAAGACGTTATCTAAAAAGGACAGGGAATCCAGGCAGGCTTCCTAGAGGAAGTAATGATTGAGTAGAATGTAAAAAGAAGAAAATTCAGTAAAGACAGATGTGAACACACTAAAGTCAGAAAAGCACAAGGTATTCATGAAACGGTAACACTGCATGTTGTTTGATGTAGCTGGCACAAAAGATGAATGTGAAAAAATAGTAGAAAGTGGGGCTAAAAAGGTAGCCATGGACCAGATTAAAATAGCAGCCAATAATGTGCAGGAAGAGGTCGGGAGATCCAAGACAGACCTTACCTATTTCAGAGTTCTGCCTAGACCAGGCCCCTTTCAAAAAGCCAGGTCCAACGCTGTGCATATGCTGCTGCTTGCTGGAAGTTCTCTCCATCCCTGGGCTACATTCAGGTATCCAACTAGTACAGGATATCTCCACCTGGATTACCCCGGGCACATCAGATTTGTCACATCCAAAATGGGATACATCATCCCCTCTTCCCCCATATACCTACTCCTTTTTCTCTGTGTCCTTCTCAGGGACTGACACTGCCATCCCCCCTGCACCCTACACCAAAACCCAGTTCTCCTTCCATTCTCCTTACCACCATTCCCCTCCCCCACCACAGGCCAGTCAGGCATATTTTCTTTCCGCTACATCCACCACCTCTTAGTTCAGCCCCTTGCCATGACTCTCTGGATCCCTGTAGCAGCCTCCTGCCAGGTCCCTACAGTGCACGTCCTACACAGCCACCAGGACGGAAGTGCTAACGCGCTCGTGTTCACCAGTACCTACAAGGTAGAGTTCACGTTCCTTCTCGTGGGATGTGAACTCATTCATGAGCTGGCCTCTTCCACTTCTCCAGCTTTGCCCTGCCTGCCGCCCTGGAGGCACTCTGCAGTTCGGACATTGTAAACTAAGGAGGTTCCTCAGAAAATACCATGTCCGTCCATTCCTTCTAGTCTTCTCACTGGCTATAGCCTCTGCCCAGGATGTTCCGTCTCTCCTCCCAGCACCCCTAGTCCTTACCTTAGCCACCTGGGGAACTATTTGTTATCCTTCAAGATCCAGATGAAGCTTCTCCAGGACAGTTAAGTGCTTCTTCCTGTGCAAGCAGCTAGTGTTACATAGAGCTTGCAGCAGAGATGGTACAAATACAGCAGCTGACACATTGCTTCGATTATTTGTTTACATCTCTTTGATATAAATATTTACTAGTTTGAGAAATCCTGGAAGGCAGGGAAAATATCTTACTCCGCATTTTTAGTGCTCACCACATGATGGATACCTTATAAATGTTGGTTAAATGATTGGCTGGATGGATAAACGGATAGATGGATGGTTTCTAGTTATTTGCCTATATTAACACAACTCAAATTGCTAGAAGAATTTTTCCAATAGAAGAGACATGTTGTCTTAATCCTAGCTCACCTAGTACCTTTGTATCTTCTTTTTAAACACTTTCACATGCATGCACACATACACACACAAGAAATTGCCTTAAAGGAAGGTCTTGTTATCGGAAATATGCTAAACATTCACCAAAGCCAAATATATTCACTAGATATAATAATTATTTAAAGAACAGGGGCTCCTGGGTGGCTCAGTTGGTTAAGCAAATGCCTTCGGCTCAGGTCGTGATCCTGTTACGGAACCTGGACTGGATCGCCCGACGGAAGAACCAAGTGGCACTCAAGAGATCTTGGAGGTTAGGAGGTTTATTTAACACCGGTGGGCTCGGAGGAGAGTGATCTCCAAAGGTCTGAGCCCTGAGCACAAACAAAGGGGGCAATTTATGTACTTCTACTTCCGCATACTGGGCACTTTTGGCGCGTGCGCGAAGCAGGGCAGGAAGAAGAGCCCAGAAGAGCACCAGGGCAAGGACTGGGACTCTCTCGCTGGCTCTGTCGGCCATCTTAGAACACAGATTTCCCTTATCAATCCCAGGGTCCTGGGATCGAGCCCCTCATCGGGCTCCTTGCTCGACAGGGAGCCTGCTTCTCCCTCTCCCTCTACCTGCTTGTGCTCTCTCTCTGTCAAAGAAATAAATAAAAAATCTTTAAAAATAATAAAGAACATTTAGCCAATTATAGTTCTATTTATTGCATGTTCACTATAAGCCTTATGTAGCTTATCTTACTATGATGTATGTATTATTATTCCCACTTTATAGATGAGGGAACTGTTAGAGCATGTAAAGACACATAGCCAGGAAGGGGCCAGACTGGGACCTGAAACCATGAACGCCTAACCCAAAGTCAATGTTTTCATCCACTGCTAGAATCAAATCATCAAAATTTATATTAGGAAAAACAGCATAAGGGATGTGACTTTCTCTTTCATAATTATGTAAACAGTATCAGTATTTTCTTGGACATGTTAAAGATAGGATTTAACCAACAGCTCCACCATGAGTACAGCTGGAAAGCAATAGCAGAACTGGTCAATATGAAAATTCATTTTATACCACACAGTTTACACTGCCCCATTTATAGTTTGTTTGGGGAAAAAAAAAAAAAAGACCAGTTTGCCAACAATAATCTGTAATTATTTTTGCAATGAATATGAATAAGACAGCAATGTTTCTGTTTCAGGCCATGTTCTCTAAATTGTTTTCAAACAATCCAAAAACGCTCCTAGCAGGTTAGAGAACAGAATTCTCAGTAAATATTGTCATAAGTGTTTCTAGTTTTAAGAAATTATTTCTTTTGTTTTTTTGTTTCCCCTAATGAGAATGAAGAATACAAATAAATTGGAGCTTAGCTACACTGTGGAGAACCTTTTGTATAGAATTTGGTTTGCTCAGCTTTGTCTTAAATAACTGCTTAGAGTATTAACAAATACTAGAAGCTCAGAATAAGAAAAAACACATACACCTTACCTTTAATGACACTGTGGTAGGCAGACCCCAGGGTGATCCAAAGATTCCTGCCTCCCAGTGTTCACACTCTTGTGTAGTTCCCTCCACACTCATGGTTGATCTGTGTGACCAACTGAATACAGAAGTTATAATATGTGACTTACAAAGCTAGGTCATAAAAAATATTTTTGTTCCACTATCTTCCTTTCCCTCTCTCCCATTCCCTCTCACTCTGGGGGAAGCGAACTTCCATGACATGAGGCTAGACCACCTGCCTCTCAAGCAGTCCTGTGGAAAGGTGTATATCATGAGAAACTGAGGCCTCCCGCCAAGAGCCAGTGAGGAACTGAGGCTTCTGGTCAACACCATATGAGTGAGCCATCATGGAAGTGATCTTCCAGCCTGTCAACTTCCAGATGATTGTAGCCCTTCTCGACCACATGAGAGACTCTGAATCGAAGTCATCCAGATTAGCTGCTCCCAAATCCTGACTCTCAGAATCTGTGCAAGAAAATAAATGTTTGTTGCTTTCAGTTGCTAAGCGTTGAGGGTAATCTATCATTTGGCAGTAAGTGCATGACAAAGACACCTCTCAGAATTCACACCCATATAAAGTTTCCTCCCTTGTGGACCTAGTCATGTGACTCACATTGGCCAATGTCATATTAGCAAGCATGATGCAAGCAGAGGCTTACACACTGAGTCTCATCTTCTTGGCTCACTTCCTTTTAAGAGCCTAGCTGCCATTCTATAAGGAAGTCCCAGTGATCCTGCTGGAGAGAGAGGCCATGTGAGGAACCAAATTGTCCCAGCGAAGTTTCTAGTTGACTGCAGCTGCATGAGTGATCCCAGCCAACACTATGTGCAGCAAAAGAATCAACACAGAACCACAAGAGAGAACCAATGTTGTTTCAAGCCATCAAATTTGGAAGTATTTTGTTACACAGAACAGATAACTGAAACACAACCTTAGCACAAAGTAATTTACCAGAAAACACACTGCAAACTATAAACTATTTTCTAAATAAAGGAATTTTTAATTCTGCCATACAACAGGGAATCTTCTATCCTTGATTTCAACCAGATAAGGCAATTGACTTATACAACTGAATCACACAATTAAGATTTCTTACAATAGAAAGGGTACATCTTACAGATCACAGTAATTAGCTATTCTTATACTAAGTCTAATGTTTGGTTTTTCCCTAAAACAGCATTTCCTTTTTTTTCTTAAAGATTTTATTTACTTGAGAGAGAGAGAAAGAGTGCATGCACAAGCTGGGGGGGGGGAGGGGGGAGGGGGAGGGACAGGCAGACTCTGTGCTGAGCACAGAGCCCTATGTGGGGCTCAGTCTCATGACCCTGAGATCATGACCTGAGCTGAAATCAAGAGTGCAGCACTTAACCAACTGAGCCATCCAGGCACCCCTATTTTTAACTTTTTGAGGAACCTCCATACTGTTTTCCAGAATGGCTGTACCAGCTTGCATTCCAACCAGTAGTGCAAAAGTGTTCACCTTTCTCCACATTCTCGTCAGCACCTGTTGTTTCTTGTGTTGTTGATTTGAGCCATTCTGACTGACGTGAGGCCATATCTCATTGTGGTTTTGATTTACATTTCCTTGGTGATGAGTGATGTTGAGCCTCTTTTCCTGTGTCTGTTGGCCATCCATAGGTCTTCTTTGGGAAAATGATAGTCTTCTGCCCATTTTTTATTTGGATTTTTCGTGTATTGTGTTGAATCAGTTCTTTATATATTTTGGATACTAACGCTTGTCGGATATGTCATTTGCAAATATCGTCTCCCATTATGTAGGTTTCTTTTAGTTTTGTTGATTTGTTTCCTTTGCTGTGCAGAAACTTTTTATTTTGATATAGTCCCAGTAGTTTATTTTTGCTTTTATATTTCCCTTGTCTCAGACATATCTAGAAAAATGGTGCTGTGGCTGATGTCAGAGATTATGTCTGTGCTCTCTTTAAGAATTTTTATGGTTTCAGGTCTCAACATTTAGGTCTCTAATCCATTTTAAGTTTATTTTTGTGTGTGGTATAACAAAGTGCTCTAGTTTAATTCTTCTGATGTGGCTGCCTAGTTTTCCCAATATTACTTCTTGGAGAGGCTGACTTTTTCCCATTGGATAGTCTTTCCTACTTTGTCAAATATTAGTTGACCATATAGTTGTGGGTTGATTTCTGGGTATTATTCCTTTGACCTGTGTGTCTATTTTTATGCCAGTATCATACTGTTTTAATCACTACCACTTTGTAGTGTAACTTGAAATCTGGAATTGTGATACCTTCAGTTTTGTTTTTCTTTTTTTTTTTTTTTTAAAGATTTTATTTATTTATTTGACAGAGAGAATGAGAGAGAGAGCACATGAGAGGGGGGAGGGTCAGAGGGAGAAGCAGACTCCCTGCCGAGCAGGGAGCCTGATGCGGGACTCGATCCAGGGACTCCAGGATCATGACCTGAGCCGAAGGCAGTCGCTTAACCAATTGAGCCACCCAGGCGCCCCTTGTTTTTCTTTTTTAAGATTGCTTTGGCTTAAAAAAAAAAAAAAGATTGCTTTGGCTTTTCAAGGTCTTTGTGGTTCCATACAAATTTTAAGATTATTTTTTCCAGTTCGGTGAAAAATGCTGTTGGTATTTTGATAGGAATTGTATTAAGTCTGGGTTTGCTAATATTTTGTTGAGGATTTTTGCATCTGTGTTTATCAGAGATAGTGGTTAATAGTTGTTTTTTTTTTTTTTTTTGTGGTGTTACTGTCTGGTTTTGGTATCTGGGTAATGTTTGTCCTGTGAAATGAGTATGGGAGTGTTGCTTCCTGTTCTATTTTTGGGAGCAGTTTGAGGAAGATAGGTACTAACTCTTCTTTAAATGTTAGAACTCACCTGTGAAACTGCCTGGTCCTGGACTTTTGTTTTTTGGGAGTGTTAAAATTATTGTTTCAATTTCATTACTTGTAATCAGTCTTTTCGGATTGTCTATTTCTTTGTGATTTAGTCTTGGAAGGTTGTGTGTTTCTAGGAATTAATCGTTACCTAGATTTTTCAGTTTGTTGTAATGTAATTCTAGTTGTCACTTATAATTCTTTGTATTGGGGTGCCTGGGTGGCTCAGTCGTTAAACGTCTGCCTTCGGCTCAGGTCATGATCCCGGGGTTCTGGGATCGAGCCCCGCATTGGGCTCCCTGCTCCGTGGGAAGCCTGCTTCTCCCTCTCCCACACCCCCTGCTTGTGTTCCTGCTCTCGCTGTCTCTCTGTCAAATAAATAAATAAAATCTTAAAAAAAAAAAAATTCTTTGTATTTCTGTGGTGTGGGTTATAACTTCATTTGTGATTTTTGGGGGGAGATTTTCTCTTTTTTTTCTTGATGAGTATGGTTAGCAGTTTATCAGTTTTTAAAATGTCTTTTCACAGAACCAGCTTTCATTCTATTGATATTTTCTATTTTTTTTTTTAAGATTTTATTTATTTGAGAGAGAGCGAGAGGATGAATGGGGGGGCAGAGGGAGAAGGATAAGCCAACTCCCTGCTGAGTGGGGAGCCTGACACAGGGCTTGATCCCAGGACCTGAGCCAAAGTCAGAGGCTTAACCTACTGAGCCACCCAGGCGCCCCTTCTATTGTTTTTTGAGACTCTATTTCATTTATTTCCCCTCTGATCTTTATGTTCTTCCTTCTCATAACTTTAGGCTTTATCTGTTCTTCTTCTGGTTCTTGTCAGTGTAAAGTTATTGTTTATTTTGTGATTTTTCTTATTTTTTGAGTTAGGCCTGTATCACTATGATGGTTGATATGATTTGAATCTTTAATTTGAGACTGGTTTTGTGGCCTAACATGTGATCTCTCTTGGAGAATGTTCTATTTACACTTGAAAAGTATGTGTATTCTGCAATTTTTAGATGAAATGTTTTGTATATCCCTGTTAAGTTCATGTGGTCTAATGTACTGTTTAAGTCCAATGTTTCCTCATTGATTTTCTGTCCAGATGATCTATCCATTGATGGAGGTGGGGTATTAAAGTCCCCTACTGTTAGTGTATTGCTGTCAATTTCTCCCTTTATGTCTGTTAATATTTTTTGTGTTTACGTGCTTCTATGTTTGGTGCATAAATATTTACAAATGTTATATCCTCTTTTTGGAATGATCCCTTTATCATTATGTAATACCCTTTTTTGTCTTTTGTTATAGTCATTGTTTTAAAGTCAGTTTTGTCTGATACTCCAGCTTCCTGGAGTAGAAGATGGTTGTGAGGAGTGTTGATTTTAGCTCATGGTGGAACCTGCTACGCAACATCTGCTCTTCCTGCTAGTATATCTGGAATGCTTGTTTGTGCTAGAGTCTCTTCTAGACTGCGGATACTTGAATTCTTGAATTTATATGCAAACATACACAAAGAAAGAGTAGCATCGCAAACCCTCACATACCTGTCACCCATCTTTAATGACTAACGTTCTGTGGTTCTGGTTTCAAGGAGACAACTTCTAGAACGTGGAGAGCTCATGGTGTCAGAGAGCCTCCCCAGGGCTCTGGGTTCTGACTTAGATAATGGCAGTGTTTCCAGTGTAAGTCGGTTCTGGCAGATGCAAAGGCAAGTGAAGACTTGGAGCATTTATAGGAAATTTATCTTGGCCTCAGAATCCTGGCTATAATTAAGAATCCTCATGTACTCTGAGCTCTTTAGGTCTTCACTTAGGACTTTTATTTGCCCAGAAATTTGGATGTGCTGCAGAAATAGAAGGGGAAATCATGTCTCTTTGTAGCGTATCTACATTGTTATGATGAAATGACACATGCAGGTGGCTCTTATAGTTTTGATACACAGGCTGCTCAGTGATGTGTCTGTGTAATCAAAAGAAACAACTGTTTTCAGGATCTGAAACATGAAGCTGAGAGGATCAATAACATAAATATACTTGTTTGCACTCCGGGTCGGCTTCTTCAACATATGGATGAAACAATATGTTTTCATGCTACCAATCTCCAAATGTTAGGTGAGTCTAATGAATTTCTAATGAAATAACCTGAGATTTAGGAGAGAGACCTCATAAATTTTAATGATAGAAATTTTTAATCTTAATATTTATTCAATAAAATATCTGAGAAATAACCTGAAACAATTTTTTGGCATAGGGGTTCTGAACCCAGAGAGTACAACTAGACATTTTCTTTTTAATTTTAAACAAAATGGTCAGAAGAATGAAGTAGTTGTATATGAAATTAGACACTTTAGTATTTGACACTGTTAAGAATTGATCTTTTAAGCTATATCCACTTCTGGTAATATCACTTCTGGTGATATTACCTAATGTGGTGTTTTTGTTTTTTTTTTAAACAACTATTTTGTAATAATTCTAGATTTATAATTGCAGTGATGGTATAGGGAGTTCCTTTATACCCCTCCCCCAGTTTCCCCTAGGGTAACACCTTACACAACTGTAGTACTTTTATCAAAATGAAGATTAACATTGGTCCATTATATAAATTCCAGACCTTTTTTGGATTTCACCAGTTTTTCCACTAATGCCCTTTTTTTCTCTTCTAGGATCCAGTCCAGGATACTAGATTAGATTTAGCTTAATGTATATTTTAAATGTTGTAGTTCACTGTGAATTTTCTCTTTTTAGTTCTTGATGAAGCAGATAGAATCTTGGATATGGGCTTTGCTGATACCGTGAATGCTATTATTGAAAATCTTCCCAAGAAACGGCAGACTTTACTTTTCTCAGCTACACAAACCAAGTCTGTAAAGGACCTTGCACGCCTAAGTTTGAAAAACCCTGAGTATGTGTGGGTTCATGAAAAAGCAAAATACAGGTATGTACTATTTGAAGCTGTATTTGATTTAATCAAAACAATGTTCTTTTTGGTATAAGAATTCAACATTTTAAATTAATACTATTTTTTAGGAAATTAGACATCATTTTATGTGTTGGGAGATATGGGAAGCATAGTAAAATATGTTAGTTAAAATTATTTAAATATTTGATGCACCTTTAAATGTGGGAATACTCTAGTGCAGTCTTTATCACAATGTGGTCTGGGGAACAAATAGCCTTCCATAAGATGTTAACAGGTATTTATTAATAACTACCCCAGCATAAACTGAGGGGCAGTGGGTTTGTGTGGCTGTGTGGGAAGTGGGTTGGGGGAAATGGGTTTTAAAGAGTATTTTGATACAACAAGTGGAAGTTTGTGTATGTATGTTTGGTATGAATCATTGTAGATTGTGGACATACTTGACTTGCAGAAATATTTTCTGGTGGACATAAGTAGAATCTGTGTTGAAGATCTCTATATGGATTCAACCCTACCATTATTTCTATCTTAACTTCTATTTTTCCTATGAAATGTTAGTCTAAAAAGAAATAGATTGGGGAAAATGATGGGTTATCCTTTTGGAAAGTTTTTAAATACTGAGGATATGGGCCTTGAGGCCCACATTGACTTTGTTCAGCTACTAGATGTCTAGGATTAAAGAAGGTCTTAGAGGAGGCCCGACTCCATGCTTCTAGGTGATTTTTTTTTTTTTAAGATTTTATTTATTTATTTGACATAGAGATACAAAGCGAGAGGAGGAAACAAGCAGGGTGAGTGGGAGAGGGAGAAGTAGGCTTCCCGCTGAGCAGGGACCCTGATGCGGGGCTCGACCCCAGGACCCTGGGATCATGACCTGAGCCGAAGGCAGACACTTAACGACTGAGCCACCCAAGTGCCCCGCTTCTAGGTGATCTTAATGGATGAACTTTGAGGAGTCTGAGTACTGGTACCTTTGGTTATCAAGAACTCAGGAATGGCATAGGAAGAGATTCTTGAGGTAGTTTCCTCCTTAGCTTAATGTGGTGGAGACAGTGGTCCTTGTTTGTAAGGTTGTATTGAGATAGCTATTGAAATTCTTGGTACAATTAATAATCTAAAGATTGTCTGGGTCTTTAGATTTTCTTCTTTGTTCTTTTTGCTGTTTGCTTTCTGCCTGTTTTCAAGATTCTCTAGTGTTTTTACCAGGCACGAATTTTTCAATCACTAGGTAGTCTCTAAAACTGTGCATAATTTAAGGTAATTGTATATAGTATCCCTGTTTCCAATTTCTGTAGATAACAATGGGTTATTATTTATAGATCAGAGTTAGGAAAAACTGAATGCAAATACTATATTTCATAAATGGTTTTTTAAAAGATTTTATTTGTTTGAGAGAGAGAGAGGAGAGAGGGCCTGCACATGAGTGGGGAGAGGGGTAGAGGGAGAGAATCTCAAGCAGACTCTGTGCTGTGTGTGGTGTGTCATGCAGGGCTCGATCTCATGACCCTGAGATCCTTGAGATCATGACCTGAGTCAAAACTAAGAATCAGACACTTAACCGACTGAGCCACCCAGGCGCCCCCATAAATGATTGTTATAAAAGATGGGGCTTTCAGAAACCATGTCTTCAGTGACATAACTGACAATGGTGGCCTGTATGGTAATGACCGTGGCTCTCTCTAATCTCCGGTTCACCAGAGTGCTACAAAAAGCAGATGCTGGTGTGAATTTTGTCTCATGTCATTATTGGAGTTTCTTCTCCAGCCATTAATTCGGTTAATACACCATGGGAAAATCATAATCAAGAATATTTTTAAGACATTATAGAATATCTGCTTTCAAATCATGAAGGACCAGAAAAGTAATTTAAAAGTTAGGTCTTTCTGAAGTTGTGTATCAGAGTATACTTAGAAAAAGTATACCAGTATGTTTTCTTTATATTGCTATTGTAGTGAAATGGTGCTTCTAATGAAAAAAATTTTTTTTTTTGAGAAAAAATTGTATTTGGATCATTGTAACTTGCTGTGTTTTACAGTGAATATAAGTTGAATTCTTTGGTAAATTATGAACCATTTCAAATTTGAGATGGATATTTGAGCTTATGTTATTAGGTACATACAAATTTAATATTACATTTCCTATTAGCATCATTAATCATAATGAAATGTTGCTCTTTATCTGTACTAATACTTTTTGCCTTGAAGTCTAGTTTGATATTAGTCTCCCTATAGCAGCTTTCTTTTGGTTGATGTTTGCATGGTGAATCCTCTGTTCATTTACGCTTTACATTATATACGCCCTTATATTTTAGATTTGACTTTGTAAGCAACATATGGTTCTGTTACCAGGTATGATAATTGCTTTGCAACTAGAGGATTTAGTTCATTGATCTATAACTTACCATATTATTTAAGTCTCTACCCCTTTCCATTGTGCCTTCATTGTGAAGTATATTAATTTCATACATTTTAAACTCCATAAACTGTTATTACTTTTTGAAACCAGTATTTATTTAGATTTATCCAAATAGTTATTCTTTATGATATTTTTATTTCTTGTGCTCAAAAGAATTTCCTTTTATTTTTAGTTCAGGTTTACTAGTGGAAAAATTCTGTTTTGACTTTTCTGAGAACCTTTTTATTCTTTATTTTTGAAGGATATCTTGGCATGTTTATTTTTCAAAGATACCTTTCTATTGTTCTAACTTCTATTATATCAAAGTTAGCTGACACTTTTCTTGTTCCTTTGAAGATATTGTGTATTGTTTAAGATTTTCTTATCTTTGATTCTTAGTGAAATCGTGAATGATTTTTTTTTTTTTGGTGGCAGGTAGATGTTGTAAGGACAGATGACCTTGATCTGGGCTACCCTGGCTTTCAGACTCTGGGGCTGTTCTGTTTCTGTTCTGTGTTTGTTCTGCTTGAGTCCTGGCTGGGGTATTGCCCTTCCGGAGGTCTCAGCTGAAAGGTGTGGGTATTTAGCAGAGCCCTTCCATCCTGGCAGGCTCTGAACTTCATAGCCTTGAGATTGCCAGGGTCTCTGCTCAGCTCTGAGCTTCCCAGTTGTTGCTTTTTGCTTGTTTTCATTTTGCTGTGTGTGTGTATTTAGTTTAGTTTAGGAGTTGTCACACTTCTCATGGGAAAATTGTATGAAGAATTTAAGATTCAGTGTTTTGTGGCTCCTTCTATCTAGGATCTTGGACTACCATATTTAGGCCTAAGGTTGCTACTCAGCTCTACTCTGTTTTGCAAATCAGCAGATGCTTTGAGGGAAAAGTGGAAATTAATATGGGGCTTGCCTCAGGGCTTGTCTGTTTTCTTTTTCAGTACTTCAAGTACTAGCTGCCTTGGTTGCTGTCTCATGCCTTCTGTTTTTTGTTTTATACTTAATCCAGCCTTTAGAGTTAGTGCTATAGGCCACCAAAGTATTAATCTGATACATACAACCCCTTTATGGCAGGAATGATAGCTTTTTAGTCTTAAAGTTTTAGCAGCCAGTGATGATTATTTCCTAGATCCATTATTTCGTTAGGGTTTGCGAAATTGTGATAATCTGATTCTATTTCTAATTTCTAAAAAGTTTTCTTTCACAGTATATGTATGTGTATGAGAAATTTGTTGGAAAGGCATACTGCTGTTAATATTTTTCTTTTCTTTCTTTCTTTTTTTTTTTTTGGTGGGGTCTGGATTTCAAAGCTAACCAATGTGGCATATTTTTAACGTTTTTCCTTCTCTTATTTCCATAAGCACCCCTGCCACTTTGGAACAGAACTACATAGTTTGTGAGCTGCACCAAAAAATAAGTGTATTATATTCCTTTTTGAGAAGCCACTTGAAGAAGAAAAGTATTGTATTTTTCTCCAGTTGTAAAGAGGTACTAAATGATTAAGTAATTCATGTTGAATCATTCCTTTTATAATAGCAGATTTCAGTTAGGTAAGTAGCACTTTCTTCTGTTCTCATAAATACAGTGCTAGATGTGGTGAGGAATATGATAAATAGGCATGGTATCCCTCAGTGAATACTGGTAGAACAAACCATTGAATGGCTAGACTAACCACAGGTCTTTATAATCTGACACTTACCCTTCATGAATCCTGAACTGAATATGCCATTTATTTCCATGCTTTGATGTCCTTGATCATGATGATCTCTGGAATGCCCTCCCTGCATTCCTTTACACTAATGCTGAGGGAGTGTTGAATGTCCTTTAAGGCTAAGCTCAAATGTTACATCGGAAGGTCCTTCTGTGATACTCCGGATCCCCTTGTTATAATTAGCGATTTCCCCCATCCTCCTATAGTGTATATGTCTTTAGTTGAATTAACTCACTTGTTTAACACTAGCCATTTGCTGTGAATAAAGGATTCAGTGATAAATAAGAAAACTTAGTCTCTTCCCTTAAAGAGAAGGGGCCTTGAGTGATTTTTATGTCACTTTCCTCTCTATATTTCAGATTACCTGAGGATATATAGTTGTTGGCATATAGTAGGTAGATTCTAGATTTATAGCTTTTTGAATACTTAACATGGTAAGTATGTGAGTAAGTTTCCCTCCAGCTTATGAGAAAGATAAGTAGTGGTCTGTCTGTTGTACTCTGTCCTTTTTCTGTCTTTACTGTTTTTAGGAAACCTCTTCATTTCCATGGCTTTAAATGCCATCTATGTTCTATCACCTGCCACATCGACATCTCAAGCCCTGACCACTCTCCTGGACCCCAGATTTGTGTATCCACTTGAATACTAGAGATTTCCATTTGAGTGTCTTGAGGGCATCTCAAGTTTAAAATAAGAAAAGCAATTTAAGATTTCATATCCTGAAGATCTACTGCCTCCCATCTCTTCCCCATCTCAAATGACTGAATCCTTAATTGTTGCTTGTCTTCATCTCATTGTCAATATATTGATAACTCTCATTAGCTCTACCACCTCTCACCACACCTCATGCTATAACTGAATCTAAGCCATGCTTAACTTTCTGTTACTCGTGGCTGGTCTCTTCATTCCCACACTTTCTTTCCTATAGTTATTGCACATTCTAGCCAGAATGATCTTGGAAAATCATCCACCTCAGCGAGTTTTTTCAAGAGCAAGAATTCAAGGTCAGTTTTGATTCAGGAGATGCAAACTGCAGAAAATTTTCATGGACCCAGTTCATACTTCCTAGGTTTGCATATGCACTTTTTTTTGAGATTGGTTTGCCTGAAAGTGTATCTGTCACCTGCAGGGTCACCTCTCCCTTCTCCCCTTTTCATGGTAGCCCTTTTAAAACCACAAAAGAAAGGCATGCCATCCATCTGTAATCTTACTGGTGCATTGTCTCAGGACCCGAGAATCTTCCTGGCACCAGGGGCATTGCTCTTCAGAAAGTGAATGGCTCTAAGGACAGGTAACAGGTGTTTTGTAGTTCAGTTGGCTTACCATTCTTTTAACACAGTTTGTAAGGAGACTTAATGGACTTATTAGCTGATGGATTACTAGAAATTTTATTTATCATCATTTTGAAATATAGGAGTTCAGAGAGTTAAGGTTATTTCCAGTACATTTTTTTTTTAAACTTATTTTTTAAATTCCAGTATAATTTTACATATAGTATTATATTAGTTTCAGGTGTATAATAGGTGGTTCAGTAATTCTGTATATTATTCAGTGCTCACTATGATAAGTGTACTTAATCCCTTTCACCTGCTTCACCCACCTTCCCTCTGGCAACCACTAGTTCTCTATATTTAAAGCGTCTGTTTTTTGGTTTGTTTTTGCCTTTGTTCACTTGTTTTCTTAAATTCCACATGTGAGTGAAATCATATGGTATTTGTCTTTCTCTGACTTATTTCACTTAGCATTATACCTTCTAGATCCATGTTATTGCAAATGGTAAGGTTTCATTCTTTTTTATGGCTGAGTAATATTCCATTATATATGTATCACCTGATCTTTATCCATTCATCTCTGCATGGACACTGTTGGCTTCCCTGTCTTGGCTGTTGTAAACAATGCTGCAGTAAACATAGGGGTGCATATATCTTTTTGAATTAGTATTTTTGTTTAATTTGGGTAAAGAGCCAGTAGTGGAATTGCTGGATCATATGTTATTTCTATTTTTAATTTTTTGAGGAACTGTCATATTGTTTTCCATAATGGCTGCACCAGTTTGCATTCCTACCAGCAGTGCGCCATGGTTCCTTCCAGTACATTTTCTGTATTTTCGTGAAGAGATTTTTCTTAACATGCATATTAGAAAGAGAAAATAGGAATAAAATAATGTGGTACTCTGCCTCAGTCTACCAATTAGTAGTATTCATTTATTAATATGTAAACTAAAGAGAAATAAAGCTAACAGTCAGCTCCATTTACTTCTGTATAAGAAGAGATTTAATAACATCCAGTGTTGTATAACAAAATCATTATGTTTATTAGTTCTTTTTGTTTTGCCCTTTTTTAAAAAAAGAGTATTTGAGAGCACACGGGAGTTGGGGGGGCAGAAGGAGAGGGAGAAGCAGACTCCCCACTGAGCAGGGAGCCCAGCGCGGGGCGTGATCCCATGACCCTGAGATCATGACCTGAGCCAAAGGCAGAAGCTTACCAGACTGAGCCCCCCAGGCGCCTCCTTTGTTTTGCTTATTATCAAATTCTAACAGTTCTTGTCCTGGTCAGTTCTGTACTAATGAAGTAATAGCTTAGTCTGAGAATTTTTAATAGCTTTATGGCCACTGGAAATTAGAAATTAAAACTGATATTCATTGTTTTGTTGTAGAAAGTTGTAAATATTGATAAGATTATCAAAAGACATTGAAGCATAAAACTATTAAGATAAAATTCTGTGGGGTCAGAAAATTGACCTAAGAGTTCAAGGAGGAAAAGAAAGGCAAAATTTCTTTCTCCTGAGTTTATTTTGTCTTTAATTATTTCTTAAGGACTTACTTTTTTTGTAGCGGTTTTAGGTTCACAGCAAAGTTGAGAGGCCTTCTTTCACACAGGCATGGCCTTCATTATTTTTACCTATTTTAAAAATGATTGTGGGTATCAAATTGCTCTGCTACGTAGAATCTATTGGATACATGTATAGGAAGTTTATTTTAAATTCTCAGCATTTATAATATATCAGAAGTTACAGTTTTTGCAACTAAATACATTTGGAAAAATGTCAGCTATCAAGTTGAAAATGTAAGGGGAGCTTATTTTTAAAAAAATTCTCATAGGAAATAATGTGAGTAAGAAGTGCTTGAAGACCTCAACTCTAGACTACATTTCCCTTTCTGCTCCACATTTTTTAATTGGTGAAACTTGTGCTCCTTAAAGCATTTTTGCTGTTCATCTCATAATATGGCTTGCTGTGCTGCTGCTGTCCCGAAGTACCAGACTCCTTTTTCTGTTCATGCCTAGGTTCAGTATCTGTACCGAGTGTTCTGCCGGCTACGTCCTGGCATCTCTATACTTGCCCTGCACGGCCGCCAGCAGCAGATGAGAAGGATGGAAGTCTACAACGACTTTGTCCGCAAGAGAGCTGCTGTGCTCTTTGCTACTGATATTGCTGCCAGGGGGCTGGGTAAGAGCTTAGAGAAAATATCCTGGGATCGTGGGTGATCGAATTTGCTTATAAATGGATGGATTTGGGAATTCATAGTTTCACTCAAATAATTGGTCCTTCTCTCTTAGAAAAACAAGTAAATTGAATTAAGGCTATATCACTGAAAATTTTGGTCATATTTTCATCTTTTGTGCTTATTGTTTATGGAAATAATCCTAGAATCCTGAGGAGCCCACAAAATCAAAGGAGGATTAAAGGTTTAAAGATAGGAGGAAAAACTACTCTTGTTTCTTTGAAAATTGGAAACTTGATAAAATGTTACAACTTAACAAGAAAATTTGAAGTCCATTTCTTCACCAAATGTTTTTATTTTAAAAACATACTTAATGTATGTAAGCTTTCAAGAAGCCACTGATACTATTTTACAGCTGATGGGGTATGGAAGTAATTACAGGAAGTAGAGATGTGAGTATATAACATGAGAATAAATAGGTGGTAATTTAGAATTTTCATTTACCTTATATTACTGACCGTGGCAGATTAAACACACACGAAGAATACGTGCAGTGTACCCTTATAGGTACTACCCAGCTTTAGTGACGATCTTTTTCATCTTTTTCATGATCCCTTTTTTCTTCCCGTCTCCTTGTTTGTCTTGGAGTGTTTTAAAGTGTATTTCAGACATCATATCCATTCATTCCTATGTGACTGGAGGCCGTAGCCAAGTGTGCGTATTTTTAACAAACTATAGAAATGATCCCTGAAAGTATAGTCTTAAGTGTGTGTATTTTTAAACCTCTCTAGCCTATAGCGTTATACCAAGACTTCTGGTAAAATCAGCAGTTTGTATTTACCTTGTTTGGGCTATGTAATTGTCTGCTGAGGGAAATGGTGTACCAGTTGTCTCCGATCTTTTACTTTTGTGTTTTTAAGTTAATAGTTAAGATTTGCTTAGTTTGTGGTCCCAGTTCTGATTTTTCTCAACTGTCCTAGCAGATGTCCCATGCTTTTCCAACAGTTCAAATGCAGTCTGTTTCTCTCTTCCTTGAGACCCTCTTGCAGCCTCTGTCTCCAGCTCTTACCTGGACTGGCTGCTCCATAAACTTCACGCACATTTGTCATCCTGGGACACGTCTATCCAGATCTCTTTCTCTTTCTTGATTTATTTTCTCATTTTATTTTAAAAAATTTACAGTCTCATTTTCTAGGGTGCCCGGCTGGCTCAGTTGGTGGAGCATGTGACTCTTGGTCTTGGGGTTGTGGGTTTGTGTCCCACACTGGGTGTAGAGATTGCTTAAAAATAAAATCTAAAAAAATAAATCTCATTCTCTAATAGTTTCTTCAGGAAGGGCTCACGGGAGGTAAATTTGAGTTGTTACATGGCGTGTCCTCTTCTTGAATGATAGTTGGGATGGGAATAGAATTCTAGGTTGAAATAACTTTATAGTTTTTGCAGATATTTTCATATATTGTTTACACTCAGTTCCACTTTGATATTATGGTAGTTATTAGACACACAACTGCGTTGTCTAATGTGTTAGTAAAAAGCATATACGTTACTATATCAAAAATTTCAGTAAAAAAAAAGCTTATAACCATTTCCTGTATGTTTTGCTTTATGCACATAAAAACATTCTGAGAAGGGGTTCATAGGCTTCAGTTATAGTACAAAAATGTCAAAAACCTCTGTTCTAGCTTATTTTAAAAAGTTTATATGAACATATTCGTAAGTGAGATGTAAAAGTATTGGGTATATAAAAAGTTTACATAAACAATGTTAAATATGCTAGTAGTGTAGGACTTGCTTTTGAAGTCTTTCCATTTTTTTTTTTTTTAAGATTTTATTTTTAAGTAATCTCTGCATCTGCCGTGGATGGATCACAATCCCAAGATCAAGAGTCACATGTTTTACTTACTGAGCCAGCCAGGCGCCCCAAGTCTTTCCATATTGACATATAAATATCCAGTGTGTTTTCTAGAGTGTCTCATGGTATGAATTTACCCATTCCTGGAGTAATGAACATTGAAGTTTCAGTCTTTTTATTCTAAAAATGTGCAATGAATATTCTGAAGCTCTATTCTTAAGCATCCTAGAATTTCTTTAGAATATACCAGTACCCTTTTAAAACTTTTTAAATTCTATTTTTTTAAATGAATTATCACATGCACATGGGTAAAAAGCTAGGAGCCCTGGTAGGCTCTACACATCTTTGCTCTTCAGAAGCAACTCCTTAAATTTCTGTTAGTCTTTTTTTGGTTTTTAGTTTTATATTTTGAAGTGATATCTTTTACACTGTACTACTAATTTTTACCAAATTTAGAAAAATTACCAAAGATTTCCTTTTGTTACCTCTCTGTCATTCCTCTTCTGTGTCCCCATCATTGTGTTTTGTTTTAGTGTTCACCCCTTTTCTCTGTTACAGAAATTGATTTGAAATCCTCACAGCAAAATCCACAGGTGATTAAAGGTAGTGCTTTTAAGGAGAGCACCCTGAGAACAGGGTGTCTGGAAATGAATGAAAACTTCTATAGCCAAATATGTGTACGGAATAATTATTGCTGAGAAATGAGAAAAGGGACTTAGAAAGACATCATTAATTTGAATGGGGATGGGAAAAGCAAGTTTTGTAGTTCACCAGGAGCCCATGAGAAGTGGGTTCTTTTAGGTTATTAAATATCAGGATATTTCATTATTTGTCTGACACAAAGCAATCTCTTCTGTGTCAGATACAAAATAATCTTCATATTCAAACACTTTATCAATGGAGATTGTTTATTATCTCTTGGTTCATGCAATTAATTTTATTTTTAATAAAGTTCACAGATGAGTTTGATGTGATGGAAAGCCCTGGCAAGTGGGGATACTGTAAAATAAAAAGAGTGGATCACCTGGGTGCTTCAGTAGGTTAAGCATCTGCCTTCAGCTTGTGTCATGATCCCAGGGTCCTGGAATGGAGCCCGCATCTGGCTCCCTGCTCAGCAGGGAGTCCGCTCTTCCCTCTCCCTCTGCCCCTCCCCCTGCTCATTCTCTCTCTCTCAAATAAATAAATAAAATCTTAAAAAAAAATAAAAATAGTACAGCAGGGTAGATCCTGAAACTGATTTCCTAACTTGACATTCCTTCTCTACAGATTTCCCAGCTGTGAATTGGGTTCTTCAGTTTGATTGTCCAGAGGATGCCAACACATATATTCACAGAGCAGGTAGAACTGCCAGGTAGGTGTGGTGACTCAGTTCTTTGCTATTGCATTTGGGAGATGTATGCTGTTGATAGAATGGTTAACTGGTTAGCATCTTTCCGGAGAGCATTTGGTAATAATTATTGAAGCCTTAGAGTTCCTCCTCATGCCTCACATTCCACATTGAAACACTGATCTTAATAAAACAGATGGGTTAAGTTTCAGTAAAGATGTTCATCTTATTGACCTTTGTAATGGTTAAGAATTGGAAACAATCTAAATAATCCTAGTAGCATTATGAGTAATTATGGTTAGCCACAGATGGACTATTTCTTTGGATTTACCTTGTAGCGTTTACTTTCTCATCGGAACTGGATGAGTTATTTATAACATGGCTGTCAGTGAGACATTGATACTTGATGTTGGAAGAGACACCACCTGTTGGTCTACCTGGTCCAACAGTTACTTCCGATTTTTAAGTCACAACTTGAGCTGAATGGTTTCCCAGGGATGGCAGGATCTTTAGACCCAAGATATAAACCATCTTCCAAGCAATATGTGTCATTCTCCAGTAGGCTTGCTCTTCTGCTTGCTCTGTGTCCCTTCCAGTAAGTGGCCCCAAGTGTCCCCTATCCCTTGTTTACCTAGTAAATATCTTTAACGTGTAGTTATTTTAAATTTCTTTGAATCCATAGTTTCTGGATGGCTTTGTAGAAAAAAAAAATTTTTTTTTTTTTTTTGTCGTATTTGGTGAATTTTGTTGTATGTTTTGGCTGATGTGAAGGTTTTTCATGTCTTTCTGTAGCCTGAGAACAAGTAGAGCTCTCCTTTTGTTCATTTTTAATCTTCATAACATGTTTGATGCTTGATTCACATTTATCTTGTGGGCCATTAAACGTGGGCTATAATCAAAATGTACTCCAGCACATTTCTTTTGTCCAGCGTGAAGGGAGCGAATAGTACAATAGTGAAAAATAAAGCTATTTAAAAATAGGATTTATGTACTTCAGGGTCAAAAGTGTTTTTATTGCAATTAACAATATAATTTGAACAAGAAGTGGAGTTAGAAGTGGATTCTGTATATGGCGTCATTGTACCTTCAGACAGACTTGCCTGTAGACTGGTGACATTTTGGTTTCTCATGGAGTCTAAGGAAATCGGACCTGGGCAGAACAGAGGTCTTGTTTTCCATTTTATAGGAAGGTGGGTGGTGTGTCAGTGATCTTCGTCTGAGTACATGTTTGGGTTATCTTTCATAGTGAGAGACTCAGAAGTGGTAGGTAGTGGTTGGTGGAATGAATGTTCTCCACTGTTTCGTGCTCCTCAGTGAATGTGTAGCGTGTATGAATTTATACATGTATCCGTGCACACATTTGCATTTTAGATAACGTGGGACATGGCCTCTCACGAGCATACTGCTCCAGGGGCACACAGGCTTGTTAGTTGTGCCATTTGGTGTTGATGTAGACAGGGCAAATGGATTCTTTATAGAACACTTTATTTATTTGATTTGATTTATTTGTCAGAGAGAGAGAGCACGAGAGCGCACAAGCAGGGGGAGGGGCAGAGGGAGAAGCAGGCTCCGTGCTGAGCAGGGAGCCTGATGCGGGGCTCGATCCCAGGACCTGGAGATTATGACCTGAGCCGAAGGTGGATGCTTAACTGACTGAGCCACTCTATAGAACACCAGTGATTCTTACTTTATGAAGATGATGGGACATCTCATTGCATCAGAAAACAGTTCACCAAAGAGGATTATTTCAGGGTTTTTGGTTCCCAGAGAGGTTGTTGAAAATCTTACATAGTCAAACATACCAGGGTGAACGTTAAATTGGTCCTAATGACTGGCGATGAAGAGTAGCTACAGAAACATCACGATTTTGTTTGAAGAGAAAATACTAATTTGAAAAACTATTGTAATTTCTAATGCCATTAGTTTTTAAAGTACAAGTGTGTTTGATCCCTGTAACCAATTAAAAATGTTTGAATCGACTCTTAGATGAGTAGCCAGTGGAAATGTTTAGGATATGCAGTGCTTATTTTTTCTTGGGCAGTTTAATAAAAAAATAGCGAAATTGCACTTTAAAAGTTGCCATTAATGGGCTTACAGATAATTAGAAAGTTTCGTGGGCCATGAGACTGGATAATTGAATCGAATAAGGCTAAATTAAAATTTGAAACTAATTAAAATCCTGTGTTTATGCTGTAATTAAAACTGGGTTGCCAGATAGTGTTTACTTGTGGAAGTAAGCTGTAATATATGAATATAGAGAAATGAATTCAGTGCTTTGTGGCAAAATAGCTAAGGTCTGAAGAATCTTTTTTTCCTTACTATGTTTTAGCTGAGTGAAAATAGTGATTCTGGTACTTGTCTTGAGGTACTTTGTTTTAATTAATTCACCAAAAATTCTCTTGATCCTTGGTTTTGAGAAAAGTTTTGTCTTTTTTCCTTAACCATCCACACCCCTTTTAACAAAATGATCTCATTTAGAGACAGGTGAGGCAAGGAATATGAATATAATTTTATCAAGCTGTATTCTGTGATGCATTGTACTTAAAAATGATAGTCTTTTTTAAAAATTAACATATAATGTAATATTTGTTTCAGGGGTACAGGTCTGTGATTTATCAGTCTTACACAATTCACAGCACTCACCATAGTACATACCCTCCCCAGTGTCCATCACCCGACCACCCCATCCCTCCCACCCCGCTCCACTCCAGCAACCCTCAGTTTGTTTCCTGAGATTAAGAGTCTCTTATGGTTTGTCTCCCTCCCTGGTTTCATCTTGTTTCATTTTTCCCTCCCTTCCCCTATGATCCTCTGTTTTGTTTCTCAAATTCCTCATATCAGTGAGATCATGATACTTATCTTTCTCTGATTAATTTATTTCGCTTAGCATAATA